ATGTTCAAACATTTTTACTTCACACTTTGACTGAGACCCAGGAAAGATCAGAATGTCATTTTGAATATTTCTTTCCCAGAAAACAAATGAGCTCAGAACTGAACTGGGAAGTTCCTTGATAGGGCAGATTAAACTCTATCATTGCCATAATGTTTGGGGCAATGAGGCTCTTTATGATTTTTTTTAGGAATTTTTAATCAGGAAAATTGCACTTGCGGCTTCACAAGACTCTCTTTGCAAAGCTGATTTCAATTATTTTTTGCAAGCAAACCAAATGAGGTGGAGAAACGCCTGTTGTGGCTCTGAATAGAGCACATCGAACTCTATTAATGCCAAAAACTGCAATTCAGTCGCGATTTTTTCTGATTTTTTGGGACTTTTTACTCATGAGCGTGCACCCTTTTACCATAATGAACATACGCGCAACTTGATTTGAGCGCAGTTGAGGCAGGAAAGAGGGCAAAAACGGGAATCATAATTAATATCCATAGAAAATCAATTAAAATGCGCCCGTACAGTAAACGGTAATTAATCGTTTTCTCGGGCGTTTTCACTTCAAGAGACCATCCCAGCTCGTTTTCGACAAAACGAAGAATGGAATAGCGTGACAGGGCCAGACCAACCCACCTCTGCAACCCTTGTTTATTACGCAAGGGCATCAGATCGATCGTTTCGAAGCAATCGAAGCTGTGATTTGATTGCTTAAGCAAAAAGGGTCGGAATCGGGGCTTCACTCGCTTTTTTTCGATAGCAAAACGATGTGACGAGGGATGGCAGTTTATCAAACCATCAGTTGAGATGAGTTTATTGGAATTGGGAAACATCTGTGTTGAATGCTGATGGTGAAACAATCCTGAGTCTTTGTAGTCGTCGAAGGTTCAGGAGACGTTAACAATTCGAAATCACCCCCGGTAAAGAACGGCTGGATGAATTTTCATTCTGTTCCAGATATGGAAATACAATCTCCCCGTTTCACTGGATCGAGCTGGTTGGCGTTTCCAGCCCTAAGGGGCGCATATAAACATGTTCAACTCAGTTTGGAACTTCGGCCGGAGGCGTACGATGGGATTTTTTTCCTGACTGGAGAACGGGACGATATGGCGGGGGATTTCATGGCCCTCCTCCTCCATCAGGGCTTCGTCGAGTTTCGGTAAGTTCAACTATCAAAGCCTTTATTGGCGGAATGTTGCCTGAAATATCTCTCACCTTTGAGTATCGGCTTCAATATGAAAGAACGGCGCAAATAGTCGGGCATCAGTAAACAGCGCGTATACAACAGTGTGAAACCTTTCGGCGAAAAGTTGGCTAAAGGGAATTTTTCCACCGCCGAACATTTCCCGAAGAATATATTTCCTGGCAGAAATTGGCTGAATTGGCTAAGCTGGCGGCGTCTTTGAAACGTAATAACCACCCACAGGCTGACATGCAACAGACTTTCATCGCGAACTAAGTTTTCCCTAAAGTTGGAAAATTGCTGTTTCGTGTTAGAATGTTCGGGGAAGGCGTAGCTTTTCGAAATTTCTTTGCGTCAACACGTTAGCCCAAGTGGTTAAATTTGGGGCTACCCTTTTTCTAGACCAGAGGATGGTTGAGTCTAATGGGTTTTTCGGGATTTTAGGCCGTCGTTCGGTAGACTTTCTTCTTGACGTTTCGCAAGCACGAGTGGCTTGCATCTTCAGAAGTGGTTTGCTTGAACGCTTACACTGT